AAAGATAAAAATAAAAAACCAAAAACTTGGTTATTTGAATTTTTCACATAAATTTTGAGGTTATGTGAAAAAAGTGTAAATACAAAAGTTGTAGATCTTTTTATTACCTACAACTTTGTCATTTAACTTTTTTCCATAAGACTTTTAGTTTTTCTGGAAATCAAGGGAAACCGTTTTTTACCCTTAAAAACTCACCCCCTACCCCTTCCCGACCTCAGACCGCCCGTAAATTATTTATTCCTTTCATGTCTGTTATATTCTCTTTCTTTTCCAATGGGTTTCATCCTACTATAATTTTTTTTGGTTTCAAAAATTATCGACCCTGGTCTAGCTGCGTATACTGCATAATTTTATCTTCAAAAAATTGATTTTGTTTCATTTGCTTCAGGTATGTCAGAACTACAATCTAAAGCTCCCAGTTACGCATATAATAGGATTAAGCCCAGATTTGTGAAGATAATGAATTTTTACCTGCCTGTTGACTTTAGCGAAACAGCACAATACTGCCCTACGAGATAAAGGGAGGACAGGTAACAAAATTCGTGCTATATTTCTGCAAAGACCGCTATGTAGAATAAATATCATCCTACAGGTGCAGAAAAATTAGATGCGCATGTCATGAATACGATGATCCACACCTGGCGAGCAGTTTTTAAAAAAGTCAAAACCCAGAAATTCGTGCCACATAAATAAAAAAAGTTTGGAGTCGTTTGAGCATGAAGAAATCAAGTCGGTTAGTAGCATGGCAGGCTAGATTTAAAAAAATATGTCCAGATTCCCTTTATCGCATAGTTAATAGGGCGACAGTGGAATTAAGGCGTCACTGTAACGATATATTAATAAGAGTCGTATATTTAAATATATATTTAAAATATATCAATTACCGTCGCCTAGGGTCATTAATAATTGTTATTGCCCTGTCGCAATTAACCGAGAGACGAGAAACCGGCTGTTAAAACGTGGCGTTTGTATCTGGAAATAATAGAAACAGTACTGACAGTACGGGCTAGGCGTAGTTAATCATTTTTACGTATCCCCATGGTGATTAATAGGTGCAGATGGCTTAAATATGTTTGAGAGTTATTTACGAGTGCAGAAACTGAGAAAAACGTCGATGTTGGCATTAATTCTTGCAGTGTATACCTAAACCTTTTTGTTTATTCTCGATTCTCACTGAAAATAACACATTTATTGATGATGAAAATATATAATAAGAGGCTCAGGGTACATCCCTGTGTAACGCCTAAGCATTTTTCCAGATTATGCACAATTTGGAAAAAATGTCAAGTGTAGATGGAAATGACTGACAAAAAACTTTTTAATATACTGTATTGCTGATGAGAACGTATGTGATCCTTTTATCTGGCAATTTAGGACAGCCACTTGTGAGAAATGTGCAAAATATCATCCTTGAGATGATCGAGGGAACACTTTATTCTATCTGCGAGGTATTTTGACTCTCAAGTGGGCTTATCGTCGATAAAAAAATCCTTCTCGCTAAAGTGATTACAGATTTCCTGTAAAAATACCCAATAAATAAAATGTATTGCGAAATTCAAAGCATCGTCGACGTTAAAGTGGGGTATAATGATGTCAATTTTGTCAAGATAATAATAGGTACTTGTAGGTATAGTACATTGCTTGATGAGTGCTTCATATTTACTAGTGAATTTTACAGATAAAAAATTCGATTTGAGTGTTCCCCTTCAAAAATAGAATTTCGCTAAGCAGGATGTAAAAATTTCTAGTGTTGAAATTCTATTTGTTACTGCCATAAAATAAAATATTTCGATCGTACAGTGGTTCTCCTCTCATTAGTCGAGATATACAGGGTGAGTTATTTTAATTTCACCAGTCAATTATTTCAGAGACGGGGGTCGTGAAAATAAACCTTAACAAAAGTTGTTCGGTTTGTTGAGGGTTACCTCGTGATGACCTTGTGTTTGACCTTTACCCATATTTTCAAGGTCATTTGAAGTTCAACTTATTTTTTTTTGTAATGGAAACGTCAATTTTTCTCTTCAGAAATGAAAAAAGAGAAAACGGTTACGACTTTGGTTTTTGGTGAAAGTGAACTTTGAGGATCATCTCAAGATGAATTTTACATCTTATTCATAATTCAAAAGAATAATGAACTGTTAGGTGTGATTCTGGCTAGAATTATCGGCTTGAACTTTTCGACCTTCAAAGGTCACTGACCAAAAACCGTTTTGACATAAAATTATTCTTTATTTTCTTTTTTGAAGTAAAAATAGTCGTTTCTGTTGCAATGAGTTGACATTCAAAATGACCTTGAGAAGGGTCAAGGTCAATACCGGAGTCATAAGTTCACAACACCTGAAGTAGTAGAATCACTCTTAAGAACTGGTTATTCTTTTGAATTATGAATGAGATGTAAAATTCATCTTGAGATGATCTTCAAAGTTCACTTTCACCAAAAACCAAACTATGTTTGTATTCAGACGTAAATGTTTTCGCTCTTTTCATTTCTGAAGTGAAAAATAGACGCCTCTATTAAAATAAATCAAATGACCTTGAAAATATGGATGAAGGTCAAATCCAAGGTCATCACGAGATCATCCCCAACAGACCGAACATCTTTTGTTAAGATATATTTTAACGAAATGACCTCATTTCCAAAATAATTAACTGGTGAAATTAAAATAACTTACCCTGTATAAATATGATTTTTTTCAAGGTCGATCCTCTAATACTGCAAAAAAATTGGCTTAGAAGAAAGTAAGAAAAATGCTTTTAATGTGTTCAAAAACGTTTCGATTTCGAGATATAGGGAGTTTTTTTTCTCTATTTGAGTATTTTGCCACGTGTGAAAAAATTTAAAAAATTTATTAAATAATCAGTCAAGGCAAGAGTTATTTTTTTGAAAATAATATTACCAAACAAAAAATTTCTGACTGCAAAAACAGGCAAATATATAACTTCAGATACAATACAGGGTGTTCAAATGAAAAAACAACATAAGATTTTCTTGGATATATCTGAATTTAGGTAAAATGATGAGACTTCCGATCTTTCTAAAAATACGATATAATGAGAAATCTGAAAAAACAGTGGCGTAGAAATTTTGTTCGATATGTAGCAGAGGGCATACTTAGCTTTGAAATAAATAATAAAGTCCCTACACTAATTACGTTTTTAATGAATCACCCTGTATATAAAAATGAAAAAACAGTTCAACCAGTCAAATTTTTACGTTCTCAGATTATATTAATTGCCAATAGATACTATCAATTTTATGTCTGCAACATCACGTTTATTTTATTGGCACGATATTGAACCGAATTCTTAATAGACACCACGAGTTATTTATTTTATGCGGTTTGGTATTGTTTTAAACAAAATAGAGGTTCGTATAAACATCCTTGGGATGATATCGAGAAAAAAATAAGGCGAATACCTAAACGGGTTGCGTTTTCGTTTTCCAAATTAAAACGCTGGGAATATCGAAGGCGTTGGTGGGAGCCTTGTTTCCTGGAAGGGTATCGTCTGCGGACGTGTCGAAATACAAAGCGAAAGGCGCGCGGGGGGAGACAATCCGCCGCACTTTGCGAAATTAGAAAAACGCAAACGTCCATTTCCAGGTTAGGCTACGCCGCGCTCCCATTGAAAGCGAACAGCACATAAAAATTAGTCCCATTGTAATTTAGCCATAAAGATTGACCTCTGCAAACCTGCCGGGGTCCCTCTAATAACTAGTAGGCCGGGCCCCGGCTTTTGTTCTGCCAGGCACCCCGACCCACTAGATTTTATCTCCGCTCATATATATTTTTTTGGTCGGCTCTTATTTTTGCTGGTTTGCCCGCTGCGTACAGATCCTGCAAGCAATGTACTGGCACCTCAGCAGTCAACGTGGACTCGACGAGCAGATGTCGGCTTGTTGCGTGGCAACGGACGTACAACCGCGGCCCGCTATTGGCCGATGCCGCGTTCCCATTGGCCCCGCGCCGTCGAAAGCGCCGAGCTCGTTTAAACTAGGAGGGGTTTACGGACGGGAAAACGCGGTTGGCTGGGGGAGCGGAAACTTCGGATATCGTTGGTGTGACGGTGTTTGGGTTTGAGCGGTCAACGTGGACTGGATACCAGCTTGGTATACTGGCAATCAGGGCGCCATATTTATAAGGGTGAAAGGGGTTGAAGTGAAATCACGCGGGTGGAACAAGGACGGCTTCCACCCCTGTTTCAGCTAAAATGAGATGCTTTCTGCCAGGCAGCCATTTTGAGGGTAGTTTTTTGTTTTTTATTTTTTGTGTGTTTTTTTTCTGTACCGAACATGTACGGATCATTTCGGGGGTGTGAGTTAAGCAAATGTAGCAGTGGCGCGGCGTGACCGCCACCGGCGGCGGCGGTGTGGGAATACACGGCCGCCCGCGACAGTTTACCCATATTACATCCACGCTAATTGCAATCACGGCCTACCAATTAAAACATGACCCAGATCGCCCGGTTCTCAATACTCCAATAAGCACGCGTCTTCCGGCTTGCACGGACCGGATAATACTTACATTTCTATCTAAAAATGAGACACTTAGATGCCCACCACCTTAAAATATTACACAGAGTTAAAGTTTGCCTGTCTTTTGATAAATTTCTTCGACTTGATAAGTCAACCTGCTAATACAGCAGATTTTATCCCCATCGAGCTACGCCGCATTAACCACATTGCCTACGCCAGCTCTAGCGTTATTTCTGCAAAGCGTGGGAATTAAATCGCAACCCCCATATCGCACAGGAAGCATCATACGTGACCTCCGATTACAACCTCATCAACCCCTTTCGGCTAATAAACCGAGGAGCTCGCGGCGTCGGTATCAGCGCGATCAATTTGTCCGTGCCCCGCTTTTTACGGTTTTCGGGGGTCGCGGGCTTTTTGTAAAGTGGCGTGGGGTGGCGTGTGTTAGCGGTTTAAGGGGGTGAGGGGCTGCCGCTCGAGCCGGTGGAGAGGGGGGGCTGCCGTCGCCAGTCGCTCTCGAAACGTGGTTGAGTCAGTACGTACGTTCCGCGCTTCGTATCTCGACGTTGTACACGACCGCCTTGCTTTGGGACCCGTGTGGATTTTTTGGTACGCAGTACCCCAGTAGTGTTACAGTGTGGTTTTTCAGTGGGTGTTTTTGTTGGTGGTTCCCTGGATTTACGGAGTGTACCCGCACGAAATTTGGATTACGCGTAGGAGACCCAGTGTACCCGTGCCATGATCTGCTGACGTAAGATGTACCCCGGTGCAGGAATGAATGCAGCGGCCGCAGCAGCAGTGGCGGCTGCACGCCATCCGGTAAGCCTTGCGACTGCGACTCTTCCCTAAGCGCAGATTTCGCGCCCGTCGGGAAAAAATCCGACGGGCGAAGGAAGCGTTAATAGTTACGTCCGTGTCTTGTTTGTTCAATTAAGTCCATGCGAAATATCTGAATTCGCGACAGCGTATGACCGAAAAGATGATGTTTTGATGTCTAAATTAGCTGTTCCACCTGTGAACAACTCTTGAAGCAACTTTGTGTCTATCCTCGCGCGGTTAAACGATTTAAAAACACCTCTATTGGAAATTTCTGGCTTTGCGAGCGAGATACGCCTTCAGAAAATCATAAATCATCGAATCTAGTGTAATTCTCTTGTAAAAACTGTGATGAACACCTCTTTCGTGTATTCTATTTTTACAGCCATTAAATTGATTGTAGATAAAGAGGGAAAATGCAATAAAACTGGGCTTAAGCCAGTGTCAATAAGCTCTGTTATCAGTTCTGTTTGCAAAAGTGTAGTTAGTTTGAATTGGGATTACTAAATGACAAATATATAATTTGGGGAATCATGTAGGTACAAACGTATGTTTTTTTTTGAATAGGTACCTTTAAATCTCTCATTTCGACGATTTGTTTCCAGTATTTATACGGATTTAGTTTGAAAAGTCCTGCTTTTGTTCAAAACCAAACGCCCGCCGTCGGATCGTGCGTCGTCAAGCCTTCTTGATAGATTGACCATGATGTAAATTTTGTGTTGTATATATTTTTATAAATAGAAGAACAGATGTCAAGTTTAGTTTATGTGACAGTTCTTTTTTGCGGGTAATTTAAAATGTGGAATATTTTTTTGCGTCTCTAAAAAAATCCCATCGAAAGATTTCTAGGATTTCTATTCTTACTAGGTACAATCCAACGAAAGCGGTTGTTACACATATTAATATTATAATTAAAAAATCAAGAATAGTTCGAAAACAAATAAAAATGATAAAGCACACATAAAAAAAATCATTTGATTAAGAATAATTATTTATACTTGCAAAAGAAATTGTTGCTGCTGTTCATATTTTTAAACTAAGTAAAATAAGTAAAAAAAAACGTTAATTAAGTGAAGAAACTTTTTTTAGTTCAACATTTTAGTATAGGAATATAGGAACCTACCTATTTCTTTGCGAATGTCTATATGAATATATTTATAATCATTTAAGAAATTTCTTTTCATTCCATCTGATGATGGTTTTCTCCCGCTTGACTTAATTAAAGAGCTCAGGCGACCTCTTGCGGAAGACTTGGAATTTCAAATTAAAATAAGAGAAAAATCACCAATTTATAAATTAATTATTTCCTTCAACAAAATATTTATTATTGAAGTACATATATAACTTCCTTATTTTTACACATATGACGAACATACTTTCGCTCACATATTTAAATCTACAGTCGACAGGAATTTTAAAGACTTGCTATTAAGTGGATGTCCAGGGAGCCAATAAACATGATTTATTGCTTAAGTTTTTTACCTCTAATGACAATTCCCAGAATATCCCTTCACAACAAGAAAGGAATGCCATTCATTATGCAGTATAGTATAGTACGGCCAGTCAATATTATTGTATTTCTCGGGAAAATATTTGAATATAGCACCATTCTGATACCCTTATAATTTATGTTACTAAAATAAATGAACGAAAAATGTAGAAGAAAGGTGTAGACATTTAAAATGCATCAACCTTTTGGACTCTATAATAAACGAAGTTGGTTAGTTAGAAAAACACAGTCGTTACATGGAAAATGTTCTTTAGTGACAATTAACAATTTATAGGCATACATTTTCATTAATTTATATATATTTTTTAATTAACGCTTTTTTAATTAGCATTTAAGTATAGTAAATTTACTTTAATAGTAACAAAATAAGGTAATAGGTAAGTAAACAGGGAAATGTCACTTTTATTTAAATACTTGCGAGGATAGTTGTTTAAAGGGTACCTACATACGATACAGTATGAAAGTGTATAAAAAAATTATTCCACTTCCTTAAAATTTTATTTTAGCAACTCTCCACTAGGTGGTAAAAAATATAAGAAAATCTATTGCAATCGTCAGAAACAAACTGTTCAAAATTTCGAGAAATTGCATAATTTCAGTTCTACTGTTGTTCTTCAACTCTCGAAGTATCAGATTGGCGCCGGTGATTCACAAACGCGTTCAGCTAATCGCGAACGGATTATACGCCACTCCAGCCGCGCGAACGGGCTATACATCCGCAGTTTGTCCGCGCCTAACGCCGTCGCGAACGATTTATACCCCGCGTACCCGATCCCGTGCGAAAATCGTCGTTTGCCGCCCTATCTGCGTAGGTAAGTCGTTATAATTAAGCGGACTCATGTTTCGCATGTAGGTATAACATGTTTACAGCGAATTTATTCCCGGCCGAGGACGACTGTTTTAGCATCGCCTCGCGCTCTCGGGGTCGATGACTCTGCCTCTCACGGCGGCGAAGATATTAATTGCCGCGTTAAACCGACCTAACTACCGATGTATATCACTGGGGTCGGGAGAGAGCCGGACGACGTCGGTGGCGGCTTCGACGCCTCGCGCGCTGCTCACCTGGTTATAATTGACGTCCCAAAAGAAACGCAGGATTTCATTGAGGAAAAAAGATTTTGTTAATTAAAAAGTTGCCATTAAATGCGAAAGAGGATATCGGCCAGTGATACTCGATTTATTTTAAGAAAAGTCTGTATGACGCTTTTGCATACCTCCGAATGAATTTCGTTGATAAATCTCCGAATTTCTGGCCTTTGATTCAGGAATGGTATTTGAGCAGAATTAACTTGTGACTTTACGAATCACCACAGGAATAAGTCGGATGGCGTATATGACCGCATGAACTTGGTGGCAGTCACTTCATTGTTGCGTGAGATTAAATTTCTGCCGTAACAGCTAGAACCACATGCCATCTAAATCCATGCTATCCAAATGGGGCCACAAAAACTTCAATAGTATCTCTCGATATCGTTCGCCATTAATAGTCACTGCGTTTCTAGTCTCATTTTCCAAAAAAATGGATCAATCACCTCAGCATTGTAAAATCCACACGACGCTATTAAGTCTATCCTAGACGATCAATAATATTGTCAATAATTGCTTCAATATTGACGCTCGATATTGAAGCACGCATCAATATGCTTCCAATAAATGCGCCAATACTTTCTCAATACTCATTGTGGCAAAAATATTGTATCTTTGGGGACTGTTTTGGGAATTTCTAGATATTTTCCAATTCGGATTTGGGATTTCTAGCATTGACTCTTGTACTTACTATGCGAAAAAAATCAAAAGAGAAATAGACGGTGGCGGTTCTTCGCGGTCTCGCAAGCAACTGATATCGAAGGAAGTATTGACAATAAACTCCCAGATGTTCAAGCGGTCTTTCAATGTTGACTGAAAAATAACATTTCTATTAATATCTGTCAATATTGATAAGAGGTATCAATACGCTCCTAGACGGTGAATATTTCAATCAATATTGAATCGATTATTGATCGTGGTCTCTTTTGAATGACTTGAGGATTGTCTCTTCCCCAAATTCGATAGTTTTTCTTGTTCACATGCCCACTAAGATGGAAATGCACTTAATTTAGCGATTAAGTGCAAGATGATGTTCTTAGCAAAATCAACGTTCGTTTGTTGATTCTCCAACATCCATCAACGAATATCCGGTGCACTAAATAGTCGTTTGGATTCAATTCCTGGGTTGGCAGAATCTTGAATGGATGCTGATGCAGATGTTTTGTTAAAATCCGCTACATGTCTTTTTTGAAATGTTCGATTACAGTGGCAGACGACGCACTGAGAATTTTCTTTACACTATCACTCACCAAAATATTTTCGGCTGAACGGTCGGTAGGTGGCCGGCCTGTTTTTTAATCACCTGCAGTCGAACTTGTTCGTCAAATTTGGCAACTAATCTTTTCACAGTTTCATTAGGGTAATTCTTCTACTGCAAATTATACGTAATTAGCGCACAGTCTCAGCTACACACTCTCCGTATTTGTAATGTATTTTCACAATCTTCACGCGCTCATTCGTCGTATAGCGTCCATTTTGCCTAACTGCAACGTGTCTTCATGCGACCATACTCAACGCTGCCAACTCTTCGGAATAAAAATGGCGCACAATTCAAATCCTTGCTTTAGGGATTTAGAAAAAAGTATATATATGAAACACTACTTACTAGAACTTTAGAAGAATGCGTTTTCAACGGGACACCCTGTAAATTGATAGAGAAGTATATTACTGTTTATCTTTTCCCGAGTCTTTACTGAAAAAATGAGATAAAACGTACTGAAAAACACAATCCTGTACATACAAAGCAATTCGTGAATGAGAATTTATTTCTGTGTAGCTAATTTTAACCCTTCGCGCTGTTTGTTTTCCAACGAGGCATTAAATAAAGAAGCAGTCGCGTAACCGGGCTTTAAATATCAAGCACAAATAATTTTCGCCTTAACTAATTACGCAAATAAAGCATTTCCTAGACAGACAATAAAATAAAATCCAATATTTATTTAATGGTGGCTCTGTACAAATATTTGACCCGTTACGAAGAGATAAGCAGACAGACATAACCTGAAAAACGCTGCGAACAGACCGATGTTTATGAAACATTCGGAATCACGCCTTGCACAGACGCTCCATTGGTTTGTTTGGGCGACGATGGCGTATATTTTTCAGGAAGACCGTTTGTTTTAATTAAACAAATGCGGTACGTGATAAAATCAAATCAAATAAGATTTGTTTTATTTATAGAAAACATTCGTACGGTATTATTGTCAATATTTGAGCAAGCCATTCCAGATAAGAGTTTGCCTAGGAATTAAACAGTTTACACATTATCGACAGCTGGGAAAATTATCTCGGACTTTAACATACTTCTTGTTACAAACACGGATATAATAAGTAAATCAACAGCGACCAATGTATACTTAATTCTATCTATATGAGAATTTTTTATTTTTTTTTATCAGTCTCGGCT